TCCTCTCTCTCATTTCAGCTGCATTTACTCCAACCAATAAATGATGATTCCTAATTTGTGGGTTCTACCAAATTAAAAGTCAATTTGCTTTTATCGGAGAAACCATATTTCCCTGAAGAGTAAAAAATTTAAAATTATTCCTAATTTTTTGGATTTTTGCCTCCTTTAAATATTTTAGTATTTTTAAAGAATTTTTTTAGCTTTTTTTCTCTTTATTATTACTATCTTTTTAAAACAATAATTTTTTTTTAATTCCATACTTCATCTAACTTGATTTTCATATTGCTTTGCTGTTAATAATACCTCTTTCTTTGATCTTAATTTCAGAATAGTTTTACTAGTATATTAACATATAATATTTACATACAACTTAAAGAAACATATAATACTACTATATAAAAAAAGATATAAACATTTCTGACATTTTTTTAAGTTCAATATGTGTAGTGTAGTGGTGATTAATTCGAATTTAGATATGTTTTGAACCGTTGAGTATTTACTATAGATTTGAATCATCTCTTTATAACAATATGTAATATTATTAAATTGATTTTCAAATAGAGTATAATTTAAAGTTTATCGATATTGTAAAACTATTAAAAAAAATTAGTACAACGTAAAATATGAGAATTTAAAAATTTTACTTAAAAAAATATATGTAATTTATCGCTGAATTATGTTCATATTTGTCGTTATCTTCCCTTTAAACATTTTACTTAAAAAAAAGAAGTAAATGTAATTTACCGCTCAACTATATTCATATTTGCAGGTAATTTAGAGAAGTAAAAAAAGGGAAAAAATCCACATAAATGATAAATGTTAAAGGAATACCAAATGGAGTCTTCAACTAGTAGTGTGCAAATGTTGTTGATCCAATCCAATTTCAAATTTCATTCAAATCCCAATCATATAAAATGGTCAATTCCCACTTTCGCATCTCTATTTGGTTTGGGATTTCTTTGATTTGTCAAATCAATTTGTTTCCCCTTTTTCATTTCCCCTCCTTTTTGTATCAATCAAAATCAATGGCAATGGCAATGGCAATGGCAAATGGCAAAGAAAAAAGGAAAATGGCTGTGCTATTTTGACTCAAATCTTGCCCAAAATCACAAATCAAGCCATTGTTGCAGAGAGAGAGAGAAGAAACAGAGAAAGAGAAGAGAGAGAACAATCAATCAACCCCACCGTGTTTGGAGGGAGTTTCCATCTTCGATTTCTTCAATTTTTTTCTCTACTCTCAAAAGTTTACCAGAAACTCGTTTTTGGGGCGCCAACTTAGAACCCTAAAACTCAGAGCAATGTTTCTCTCTCTTTCTCTGTTCATGTCTATCTCTGTCAGATCTTGAGCACTCTCTTCCACATCATTTGTTACGGATCGTATTCAAATATATATATATATATATTTTTATGAATACTGTGTGAGCTTTGTCTTTCTCAGTATCTGTGCTTGTTTTTTCTGTTGTTCTACTAGTGTAACTTGTTTGATCGATGAAGTGGAAATGTGGGTGTGATCATGCCAATGTAAATGGTTCCGAGTTCGTTCTGCGGCTGATCGGTGCTTCAAGTGTTCATCTCGAGTTCTACCTGCTGTGTTAGTAATGGCGGAAGTTCGAGTTTCTGATCCTAGTAAGCTCCATTTGAAGAAGGAACTTACTCAAATCCGCAAGGCTGCTCGTGTTCTGAGGGATCCCGGCACTACGTCGTCTTGGAAGTCTCCGCTTAGTTCCTCTAGATCTGTACTGGCTGCCGCAACTACAACTGCAACTGCAACCGCGGCGGCCGGAGGAACATCTTCTTCTTTGAATAAGAATTTGGAATGTGAGACCAGGAGGCATAGTGGCCAATCCCAACTAGACGCCGTCGTTCCTCTCCGAAGCGACAATCGGAATCTGAAGGACAAGAAGATATACCTCTATAATTGGAAGAGCCATAAATCATCAAGCGAGAAGAGTGCTACTCATCAGAACGAAGATCGTGATGGCAACGACGATGCTAATGATGGGTCTTATTCAGCTCCAGGAGTCAGTGTTGATGATAGCTTGAGCGATGCTCGAAATGGAGGCGACTCGAAAAGCGACAGCTACTTGGGAGATCTCTGTTCTTCAATGGTGTTCAGGTGCGGTGATGCGAATCTCGTGTCGTACGGTGGACCATCGGCCAAACGCGCTTCTGCATTCAAGAAGAAGAGTAAGAAGCATAGTTCCCATTTGGATGTTTTGCCTAGAAATCCAAAAAAAGGCCCTCTTCTTGGTAGGAAATTACTCGAGGGCCATCCTTCATTGTCTATTAATTTCAGCCAGGATGATTCGATCGAGCAGTCTGATGACACCGAAGATTACTCTAATTCGGAGGATTTCAGACGATATTCTGCGGCGTCCCCTTTGTTATTGAAGCTGAAGCACAAAAGTCTCCACCCATCTTCTAAGTTCTTGAGAAACAGCCGAAAAGAGGATTCTTCTTACTCGTATAGCACCCCAGCATTATCAACTAGTTCTTACAATAGGTATGTTAATCATAACCCAAGTACTGTTGGGTCTTGGGATGGCACCACAACTTCCATTAATGATGCGGATGATGAAGTGGATGATCGATTAGATTTTCCTAGTCGACAGGGGTGTGGTATTCCTTGCTATTGGTCAAAGAGGACGCCAAAACATAGGGGAATTTGTGGAAGTTGTTGCTCTCCTTCACTTTCTGATACCTTGAGAAGGAAGGGAAGTAGCATTTTGTTTGGTAGTCAAAATATTTATTCTAGGCGCAAATCAATAAATTCCAGTAAGCGAAGATTTGCTTCAGGAAGTGCTCGAGGTGTTCTTCCATTGCTTACTAACAGTGCAGATGGGAGAGTTGGTTCGTCGGTAGGAACCGGGAGGAGCGATGATGAACTGTCTGCTAACTTTGGGGAGCTTGATTTGGAGGCTCTGAGTAGGTTAGATGGACGAAGATGGTCATCTAGTTGTAGAAGTCACGAAGGGCTAGAGATTGTTGCTTTAAATGGGGAAGTAGAGGAGGGAGGTACACCAGAAAGTACGAGAAGTTTCAGTCAGAAGTATAGGCCAATGTTCTTTAGTGAACTGATAGGTCAGAATATAGTGGTGCAGTCACTTATAAATGCTATTTCAAGGGGTCGGATTGCTCCTGTTTATCTTTTCCAAGGTCCACGTGGGACTGGAAAAACAACAACAGCAAGGATTTTTGCTGCTGCGTTGAATTGTTTAGCCCCTGAGGAAAATAAGCCGTGTGGGTACTGCAGAGAATGCACTGATTTCATGTCTGGCAAGCAAAAGGACCTCTTGGAAGTTGATGGAACAAATAGGAAGGGAATAGATAGAATTAGATACCAATTAAAAAAGTTATCATCCGGGCCATCTTCCGCCTTCTTGAGATACAAAGTTTTTCTCATTGATGAGTGTCATTTGTTGCCCTCTAAGACATGGCTCGCATTTCTCAAATTTTTTGAAGAACCTCCTCAACGTGTTGTTTTCATATTTATAACTACTGATCTTGACAGTGTACCTCGTACCATTCAATCAAGGTGTCAGAAGTACATATTTAACAAAATAAAGGATTGTGACATGGTGGAAAGACTGAAAAGAATTTCTGCAGATGAGAATCTGGATGTTGATTTTGATGCATTGGATTTGATCGCTATGAATGCTGATGGTTCACTTAGAGACGCCGAAACTATGTTGGAACAGTTGAGTTTGTTGGGGAAAAGGATAACAACATCTCTGGTTAATGAACTTGTGAGCTCAACTCGCTTCTTGCTCTTGCTTTCATGTTACCTGGTCTGGTTTGATTATTTCTATTGTTTAAAATAGTGCTTCATATTTATCATGCGTTTTCTTCTTTTGTAGGTTGGCATTGTTTCTGATGAAAAATTGCTGGAGCTTTTAGCATTAGCAATGTCATCTAACACTGCTGAAACAGTTAAAAGAGCAAGAGATTTGATGGACTCTGGGGTTGATCCGCTAGTTTTGATGTCTCAACTTGCCAGTCTGATTATGGACATTATTGCTGGAACTTACAACATTATTGATGCTAAAGACAGCGCCTCATTCTTTGCTGGACGCAGTTGTGAGTATGAATCCCTTTAATTTATAAATCACAACAATCAATCTTTTCCACCATTTTCCGATGCCATCAAATCTTGTTTAAAACACGGTATGCTAATGAGAATCTAAGAAATCATAGTAATCACCAGTATGTGATGCTATTTATCTAAAGAATTTATGTTACTTGAATTTTGGTCTAGTAATTTTGCAGTGTTAATTGTTATGCACCAATACTCGATTCTCTTTATATTTTATTTTATAATGACGCCCCCCTCACTCATTAGTTAATCCAATCGTGATACACGTAGCATAATTGTGGCACTAAGAGTACTAGGGTCTACCTATTGGCTACGAATATATAAAATCTCATCAGGTGTCTTAGAAATTTAATGTCAAGGGTAGTATAAAGATTGTACATTAGGCTCCCACTTTTTAGATTGTCCCTGCACTGTCTCGTCATTGGATAGTTTTCAACATGAATTTCCATTTCTTCCTCATAGTGAAGGTTACTGGTTCATCCATAAATTCTACTAGTATTGGAATTCTTCACTTATAAATGTGAATTTTTAGTTTTCTGTTCTCAAGTATTTTATATGATTATTAATTGTTCATTTTAATTAGATTATTGTGAAAGATGTTGACATGAAGTGATAAGGATATCCTTCTTGCTAATATTTATATAGGAAATTAGATACAAGTATAACAGATGTTGTGGAGGAATACTGAAAATATTCTTGATTTTTTTTTTGTTTGTATAAAAGACATCTCTCCACAGTCTTCATTTTTTTTAAACAAATTTGGTGTTGTGTCTTTGGGATTTCCTTCAGTGAGCGAAACAGAAGTGGAAAGGTTAAAGCATGCTCTGAAGTTTCTTTCAGAGGCTGAGAAGCAGTTGAGAGTTTCCAGTGAGCGTTCAACCTGGTTCACAGCAACTCTGTTACAACTTGGTTCCATATCTTCTCCTGATTTCACTCAGACGGGCAGCAGTAGGAGGCAGAGCTGCAAGACAACTGATGATGATCCATCAAGTACTTCAAATGGGACAATTGCCTACAAACAAAAGTCATTTGCTCAACTTATGCCTCCAAAGATAAGTTCTCCTGCATCTTTGTGCAACCTGAAAAATGGGAATTATAATAATCAAGGGGATTCCTTGCCTATGGTTGATAGTTTGAGTTACAACTCCAAGCCCACACATAAGCAGTTCATGGAGGGTAAAGACTTGGGTTTTTCACGTGAAGATACTATTAGAAATATGATCTTCAGAAGCAAAAACTCAGAAAAGTTGGATAGCATCTGGGTACATTGTATTGAAAGATGCCACTCAAAGACGTTAAGGCAGCTCCTGTATGCTCATGGAAAGCTTTTGTCCATCTCGGAATCTGAAGGTAAGGGGCAGATACTCACCATTGAAATTATGGCCATTATCTTTGCGAATTCAAGGTTTTGGGAAATTAGCATTTTAGAATGTCAACTGGACCAAGTTCATTTTTAGACCACGTTCATTTTTAAAGGTAGAAAGTTTATTTTATTGATATAGGCTGAGGTCTCTCTGGTTTTTCATCAATATGCCAGTTTACCTATTATCTGCTGTTTTTTGGAATTGGACTCTTCTTTTCTCTCATTTGACAGAGTAAGAATTACTGCTACTACACTGCTAGAACTGAAAGCTTAAAATTGAGCGTTTTCTAAAAATTTGGCTATAAACCTATTATTTTTACTCCCTTAGGCCTTATCTTTCTGTTCATTTATATCAGTACTGAAGTTCCTCTGCTTGCAGGTACCCTTATTGCTTACGTTGCCTTTGAGGATGCAGATATTAAATCCAGGGCTGAAAGATTTTTGAGCAGTATCACAAATTCTATGGAGATGGTTCTTAGATGCAACGTGCAAGTCAGAATCATTTTGTTACCAGATGGCGAGACTTCTATTAATGGTATGACGGCGGCCAAGTTACCCGAAGGGGTAGAACACGAACCAACCAATAAAGAAAGGAAAACTGGAAATCAAATTGCAATGGAGGGCTATTCTAACCGATCCTTGATGCTGGATGCAACATACCAATCAACCTCTGATTCATCGCAGCTACCAACTGAAAGCAACAATAAAAAAGATGGTTCAAGGGATAGGAGACAGGAGATCCCAATGCAGAGAATAGAATCAATTATTCGTGAACAAAGGTTGGAGACTGCCTGGTTACAGGCCATGGAGAAAGGTACGCCTGGATCGTTGAGTCGTCTGAAACCTGAGAAGAATCAAGTTCTGCCTCAAGATGGTTCATACTATAAAGATCAAATGGACGAAATGAATTCAACTGGCGACTCCTCTCGGAAATGGGAAGATGAATTAAACCATGAACTCAAAGTGCTGAAGATTAATGATGACATAATAGCCCAGAAGGAGCAGGTTGGCAGACGAGTTGACCGCTATTCAATCTCCCCGAGTATATTGCACGATGGCAGCATGCTGGGAAATCCAAACAAGGATAACCTGTAAGTTGCTCTACTTTATTATTACAGAATCATTAGGTTGCCATGCCTTGAATCCCAATTTATATTGCCTGCAAACTAAGTGTAGGATAAACAATGCGAGATATGATTTTCTCATGTATATATGCAAGGGAGCATCATTATAATTAAAGTTTATGCTAAATGAGTAAAATAGATCTCAACTCTCAACTTTAACAAGACTAATGCCTTCATTTGCTTAAACACACAGGGGGTATGAGTCAAGTTCAGCAGCTGGTGGTTGTAGCGGATTGTTCTGCTGGAATAACAACAAGCCCCATAAAAGGGGGAAGGTAATTTTCCTGATCCAGTTTTTTCTCTTTGTTAGCATTTGATTTGATGTTGAGAATCATAGGATGGATGTGTTACTGTTGGTAATGAGCAGGTAAGAGCGAACCCTGTTCGGTCTCGGAATGGAAGATTTTCGCTGTTTGGGGAGTGTGGGAAGTCGAGGAATTCAGGGAGCCGATTTAGAAGACAAACATGATCATGATGCCTCTTTTTAAGTCTCAGATATATTGGTTTTTCCTGTGTAATTTTGTGTAGTTTGGTACCATTCTTTATGGGTCATGGATGGAGGGTAGTTCATGTAAAGTTCTCATCAATTTGGGTGGAGTTATTATGTTTGTAAGCCTCATCCTGATTTAATTGAACCAATAAATGCTTAGTAATGAACATTGGAATGTCTAATTGGGGGAGCTTCCAAATACAATTCAAGTGCATTTTAAACTTCCAAGTTCTTCGACTTCTCTCTCTCTCTCTCTCTCTTTTTCTTGTCTTATTTTATTTTTATTATTATTATTATTATTATTTTTTGGTAAAGAATCTATCACCATCTTAAAAGGATGTACACTTTCTTGGTTAGAAATAGAAATTTGAGAAACCCCAGATCACCCTCTTAAAAGAATGGGCTTTTACTTTTAAGATGTACACTTTTAGAATATTTTTCAAAAGCAATTTGTTGTTGTCGCTTGTCACTTCGTAGGGAAAAAATGTCGGGCAGTTATATATATACAATAGGGTTAATAAAGTTTTGACCTTTTATTGAATTAAAAGAATGAAATCTATTTTTGGGAAAAAATTATAAAAGAACAAAAACAAAAATTATCTTTCAATATTTTATTTTATTCGAAAAAAAAGGTCTTATCTTTCCGGTGCCAAAGTCATGTGAACTCTTCACACAACTGACATGAACCAGAAGAAAATTTGTTCCTCTATGGAAGAGCAAATCTGCTATCTTAGATTTTCTTTCAGGCCATTTTCTGAAAATTGTTCTTAATAGTTCGGTCCTTGAAAACTCTTTTGGCCTCTAGTTCATTTTTATTTTTTATTCTCAAAATATTTATCTTCATACTTATATTTTCAACTTCAGTCACTATACTTTAAAAAAGTAGTAATTTTAGTCCATTTATTTTTAGGTCAGCATACTGGATGCTCGAGCATCAGACTGTCTACACCAGCTCATCAAAGTAGTAGTATTTCGAGTGGCTGCAATGGATCATTTTATCTAATTTATTTCAATCAAAATTTTATCACGACATTTCACTTATTAAATTTCTTGAAATATAGCCATAAATTTACCTTAAATGATTTCTATTGTGTAAAAAATTTGTGCCAAAATTTTAAAAATGGAGACTAAAATGATAATTTTTTAAAAGTAAGACAAAAACATACATTCAAAAAGTGTAAAAGTTAAAATGAACCGAACTTGAAAAAATGAAGATCAAAATGAACATTTTATAGGGACAGAAATATAACGTAGTATTCAAACCCAAACTTTTATTTATTGTACTTTGAGGACGAGAGATGTATTTTTACAAGAAAGAAAGAAAAATTGTAGTAAAATATTTCATTCTTGTTAAAACAGATTCGGAGCAAAAAACAGACAAAAAAGGCAGGCTGGCCAGGTAAAGATAAATACCCTTATTTTATTGACATACAACAATCAGAAAGAACCTACTAATATCATATTCCTCAGTAATATCAACTGCATTTTATTTTAACCATATGCTATGCAAAGAAATCAATACTTTTTTTTTCTTTATTTGTATGTCCGCGAGCATCCAGGTCAATTTGCACGCACCTCGACTAATCTCATGGGACAACTATCCTACTATATTTGGTTACCAAGGTACCTCGTAGGATATTAAATCCTAGGTAGGTAAAGAAATCAATAATAAAGTTAATCATAATCGAATCGACACTTGAAAAGCCGAAAATCATGCTCATTAGTCATTAACATTATGTTGTATTTGAACTACATTGCTACATTCAAAATGGGGGAAAATTGATAAGATATTTTGATTATTAAGAGATTTAGCCAATGCTTGTTTAGTCCTTAAGAGGACTTTCAGGAGTTCAAATTCAATATTCTCTCTGCAAGTAATAAATCATCAGGTGTTGTTACCTGCAAAGAGGCAACTCTTTTATTAAGAGACAATTTTGAAAAACAAACTTTATCTTCTCGACATAAAAAAATCATTATCAAATAGATCTTTCTTAAATGTATGATAAGAATAAGATTCTGATCAAAAAGTTACAATACCTTAATATTGGTATAAGATCCTTCGGTGATGAACACTGAATGTTTCAAATGCTCCACAATAGAAACATCATCAGTTACTTCCAGGCCTTCCCTGTTGGAAAATGGGAAGTATGTTTGTCAAAAAAGAAACATATATCATTTGATAGCGTTAACGGAAATTATGTTTTTATTTAGTCTTTGCTGTTAATAGCGTTAACGGAATGTTATGCCTGTTATATAAATATTGACTAAGTTGGCCGCAGTTGGATAGGCTAAAGTACCTCCACCTAGTCAAATCAAGTGAGATTTGAATTTGTTTATTTATCTATCTTCAGAATTTTTCCTGCTGTTGGGACTTTGTTATAGCGCAGGCAAGAATTTTACAAAGGGTGTAGAAGATGGCGTGATTCTTATTTGGCTTAGTGGGAGGATTTGAACCTGGGTTTTTGAAGATGGCCTGTGGTTATGGGCCTATGGCATTTCCAATTAGAACTTACTTTTTGTGGCATAAGAATGAATGTTACACCAATGGTTGGAATGTAACTGAAGTACGGGTTTTGGTGACACTCAAGAATCCTAGGAAATTCCTTCTTATTCTTTTACATTGAGATTAAACCATCTTCACTTACAGGAAGATCGTTGGATTGGCTCTAGTCACTTTCAATTATCTTTCACTTATTTATTTAACCTTTGGTCTCTTAGAATTGTCCTTATTGCTTTATTTCTCTCTGATGCTAGCGTGGATCTCCTTTCAATTCTCACTTTAGGAGAGCATTAAATGATAGATTGTTGTTGAAGTTCCCCCATGCCCTTCCCATCCGAGGCCCTTTCCATCCTTCAGGATTTCTGGTTACTCCCTGCTCAAAAGGATTGTAGGGTTTAGTTCTAGAGTCTTCTGCGGTTTCTCCTATAGTTTTTGTTTCTCCTTTTCTGAACACATTTCTTTTTCACCCATGCAATTCCTCCACCACCCTTCTTTGGTAGGCTTTAGCAAGTCAAAGTCCTAAACGAAACAAAGTTCTTCATGTGGCTTGTGTCACTCATGGGAGAATTGATACCTGGAAATTATCTAAATCCTCCAAATTGACCTTGTTTCCTCAATGGTGGATGATGCGTTGGTAAGAGTTGAAAACTTTTAATCACCTATTACAGCAGTGCACATTTGCAACTGGAGACTTTTGGAATCTCTATAGCTCCAAATTGGAATTACATGAGTATGTTAGTGTTGGAAGAGGTTCTAGTGCACAGGCCTACAATAGAGGAAAGGTGTTTCGGCAGGTTACTTTCTCTGCAATTTATTAGGGTATCCTTTTGTCAAGGAGAATAAAGGGTGTTTCAACATAAAGAGAGATATTAGGACGAGGTTCTAAGTGTGGATCAATGTAACTGTAACCTTCTTCTAGTCTTGGAGATGGTTCGCTTTACTGTCTCCCTCTAAATGTTATCTTCTTTTTGATTACCAACAATTGGGGGCCCTTGTAAAAATAATTGGTGGTTAGGATGGCCCCAGTGTTGGCTTGGCCTTGTTCTTTTGCACTTTTATTTTTTCTTCATTTCAAAAAGAAAAGTCAAAAACTAAAGACATCCTTTATTCTTGGGTATCTCGAGTAGTAATTTCATACAAAGCCAACCACAAACATCAATTTTTTTTAATAAATATCTTGTATTCCAGCACCTCCACCTTATGCATCATAACTTCATGCAAACCTTGAATCAAGTGGCACCTAAAAATAGCTATTAGCTCTCCTTTATACAAGGTCTCTCAACTAGTCAGGTATTGAAAATTGTGGCTACATTATTTCTCAACTAATCAAGTACTAAAAATTGTGGCTACATTATTTTCTGTTGATAAAAGGAGAAAATAAACGGAGAGCATTGTTAAATACCTGTTCACAAGCTCAAACCCTTTTCTAAGCAACTCAGGCACGATAACCTGTAACAACATAAACGCAAATTAATCTGCCTGAGTTTCTTCCTAACAAATTCCACAAAAGATTGCACTGTCATATATGCAAGTTGACATCAAACCTGAGGAGTTTGCATTTCCCAAAGAGTTTTCCTGTCCAAGGTTCTCTGGACAAAACGATCATTGTTTGCCTGAAAAATAATTGAATAATTGACATCAAATGGCATTGATTGATATATGCAATTGAATACTCGCAATGTGGTGTGGTGGATAAATGATAAATATATGTTGATTTATTAAGTCGCGTGAAGTAAAGCATGACCAGCGACCTGATGGATACAGCTGAATGTAGTTTACCTTTTCTGGGATAAAGAATGTACTTGACAAAATCCTAAATGCACGATTTTCCCTTGAACAAAATTACAGTGTAAAAATGCAAAATTCAAGAGGCTTCGTAGATGTTATATGTAGACAATTGAAAATTGCAGTAAATATATCATCAATAATCCTGAAGTCCACGTACACTGAAGAGGTATGTCGCATAAAATCTAATATAAGCCCATGCAACAAAGGAAAGATTAAGAAATTACAAAATAAAGGGGGAGGAGAGCCAAGCCCTAGAACCAAGTAAGATTAAAAAGAATCCTCCAATTGGTTAAGTGAGAATTCAAACTACAACTGAGGAATGGAGGAACATTTTTACACCAAGAGCCAAAAAAGAAAGAGATTCTAGAAAAGTCTCAAAGGACTCTGTCATTAAAAAACCTCTTGTTCCTATTGAACCAAAGAGACTAAAAAAATGCACCAATAAAGTGGAAAAACAAACAGAGAGGAAATGGAAGTTGACAGGAAGTGGATTGATAGCGCGATTGGTGAGGGGATACCATGTAACAGGGGGGATCAACCAGGCAACAAGGAAAACAAAAGACATACAGATGGAGCATATTTTTACCGACCAAGTTTAGTAACACATTCTCTTCAATTTCAAAACTCCAGCCAAAGCAATAGAGAAGTTGACAACTAATGAAAACAAATCAATGAGTTCAACCGACTATCTCAGGAGCCATTTGGCTTTAAAATGAAAGAAAGAATCACCATGTGGATGGTTTCAAATTTTGGCCTTAAAAAATTACTGGTTTGTCGATATTTTTCAAAACAAGCCTTTGAAATGAGAATTCATTGCATTCTTCTTTTTTTTTAATGCGAAATCAACTTTCATAAAATTTAAAAACATTTCAGATAACAAGTGGCCCTTAAGTTTCTCACGTAATATACCTGTCTAACACTGACTGATAGAAAATAAAAGAAACCAGAGGTGTCCACCGGAGAATGATTTTGATATAATAAGTCCCAAAGCTAACATATACCTCTTTTATTGTAGCTTTAACAGGAACCCCGAGTACAGCAGCCCCATTCTGCCTAGCATCTTTAAGAACCTAAAAGGAAAGACAAAGAATCAGCATCTCCTTAAATGAACCTAATGTAGGTTAAGTTAAAAAAGTATTAGGAGAGAGGGGTACAATAAAAGTCAAGTAAATTTTAAAGTATATCTCAGACAGGTAGAAGTAGAACATAAATGTGAAGCCTGCCAAGTTTGTAATGGTTAGATATCCAATATAAATGATTAAATTTACCTTAACCCATCAACTTAAGATTTTGGGTTCATTGGTGATTTAATCATTTTTAATATGGTATCGCCAACATGAGCTTAGTTCAGCTGTAATTGACACTAAGAGAAAAAACCATGTTTAATATAGTATCAGAACAGGAGGTCCTGTATTCGAACCCTAGCACTGTTGTTTTCTCCCCATTTATTATTCATTTCCACTTGTTGGGTCTTTATGTTGCTCATTTCCACTTGTTGGGTCTTTATGTTGCTCATTTCCACTTGTTGGGTCTTTATAAGCAACATAAATAGTAGTTTGCTGCAATAAACTATTCCTAGACCAGAAAGGATTCGATAAATAAGGTTAAATTCTCTATCAAAAAGAAAAAAGAAAAAAATCAGGTTAAATTCAAAAAAGGTTAATGAATCCCACAGCATTGGAGTTCAAAAAAGAGAAGCTCCAAATAAAAATCCACAATTCACTTCCATTGACTAAACTCACACTTTCAGCTTATCAAATATCATTATTACACACAACAAGAAATTGGTCTAGACACAGCTTATCAATGTTACAGAAAACAGGGGTCAGAGGGATGAAAGAAAACCAATGCACTGTGAAATTTCCAAGAAAAAGGTATTATAATTTCTTTTTAATGAGAAACAATAGTTTTGCGGAATCTTCCACAAAATTATAAAAGAGCATTCTAATTGGAAGGAAAGATAGTAGGAGAACGATTACAGAACTCTTTGTTGTAAGATTCCTCCCTTGTGGCATGGAACATTATCATTAAATTATAATTTGATATATATAACAAGCAACAAAATGGGACACCATCCAGGAAATTAATAAGAATGTGAAGACAACCTTTTTAATATCTCCTTCTAATACAAGAGGTCTTGCAGAATCATGGATGCACACAAGATCTGAGTTCAAATCAATTGCCTGTGAATAGAAATGGTAAAAAAAAAAAAATTATAAGATAATGGGAGAATGCAACATTATCAACGAAAGTGAATTCAGACTGGAAACTCTATGATGTATCATATCAAACGTCAAGAGTCTACATAATCTAAATGTAATGAGCAGTAATTAATGTAACTACTACTAAATTATTTTTTCCATTGCTCAAAATGGAGAGCCTTTGTATACGTCTGTAGGTTGTCTTGTGGGAGTCTCTCATGCCGTCTAATTCCAATTTTTAATAAACTTTGTCTGTTGTCAACTACAGGAAACAAATTTACAGAAACAAGAACAAAACATTATGAGACTGCACCTGAAGGCCACTATACACGGAATCCTGTCTCTCCTTTCCTGGAAGTGCAAATTTGAGTTGGATATCAATCTTCTCTTTGGCATCTAAAAGCAGGAAAAAAATTTAATTAATGCACAAGCTACAATACACAGCGGAGTCAGGCAGTGAGAGAAAAATATCAGGGAAAACCTTCGAAAATATCTTGATAAGAAGGATCACAAACCACGACGATTTCCTTAACCTCGATCAAGCGTGAGAAAGTGTACAAGCTGCACTAAGTCACCATTTCATTGCTTACAAGCTACAAGAGATATGTGCCATAATAAAAAGACAATAAATATTTGCTGGAGCTAGCCATCGAGCCTAAGGAGAGCGTCACTAGACAACTATCCTTAGAAGAACCAAGTATAGGAACTTCTCATGCCAAATTGTTATTTGATTGATTAGTTTCAAGTAAAGTCACTCCTTTCTACGAAAGAAATTTTAAATTATAATTACCTGTACAAGGCGATAGGTTGACCTAGAAGTGGAAGATACTGCTTTGGCATGCTTGCCTAATTGCACAAAGATGACAAAATTAGCATATGTAGAAGTAAGCTAATGAAGAAAATGGGTGGTTGGTGAAACTTCACTTATGTCCAAACATGTCTTGCATGCATATGAACATACTATTAGTAAAAAAAATATGGAGCTTTAAGTTATACTTACACCATGATAACAAAATATTGCAAAAACAATAAATAAGATATGAAGCAGAAATCCTAACAGTTCTAACTATAGCACCAAAGAAACACGAGTTACACGTGGATTAAATGGATAAAGAGGAGAAAATCATATCACAATCAGGACCAAAGAATTACAAGAAGTTAATTTGAAAAATTAAAGAAGAGAAGAAAGAGAACGATTTTAAGAGATTCAGATAAACTAATAGTTGTTATTGCAATCAGAAACTTACACCCATCCTTTTCCCCCTGCCTCCAGCTAACAGAACGACAGAAACACTTTTCTCTTTCACAAATTCAGAACCCTGGAGATTGTTAAAAGAGAAAATGTGAGAACATAGAACAAACAAGAACACAAATAGTAAAAGAAATTAAAGCACCCCCTGTACATTTTAGCCACAGGAAATCTATCTAACTTACATCCCCAGCTTCAGCAGCGCTGCATTTGATCACCGACTTGAGAAATTTCTCATTTCGCCTGTACTTATGCTGAACGCCTGAGAAAAATCGAAATAATATCCAAAACATCAAAATTAACGCCGTAATAATGCACATTACTCAATCGCCTCAGAAAACAGATAAAATGTTCATTGGGTAGTTGAGAAATGGAACCAATGTCCATTCGTTCCAAGTGTCAGCTCATTTTTCAATACAATTAACAAAAATTTCTCTGAACTTACATTCACTTCAAAACCCAAACACGAACAATTTTCTGACGAACCAAACAAACACAATGCAACAAACACAGACAAGCTTGAACTGACCTGCAAGCTGTAGGCTGAAATGAGAGATCAATGGCCCAATTTTGGCGGGAATCGTCCGCTGTTTGATTGGGAATATAGAAGGAGAAGATGAGAAGCTACTGCTCACACGAGGAAAATGGCTTACGCTCGCCATTTTTCTCTCTCTATCCACGCTTCACTGACGGAGGAAGCGAACAAAACGGAGAATGCCCTCCATTTTCAGTGCTTCGAAAATAAGCTAAATTCAAAGTCAAGGGCATGCAATTACAAAACTACCCCTGCTGTACTAAATCTATATCTATAGTACATATAAAAGGTAGGGTGATTCGAGAAATTTATAATTCTATTTTCGTCTTTTTATCTTTCCATATCGGGTCCACGGTACTATTATTCTTTTAATATTTAAAAATTAAAATTAGTTTAAACATAATTTTTGTTTCGATAATTTAAAGATATCTCTGAACATCAAACTTGAGTGATAATGGACAATGACCTCCAACCAAAAGATCATGAATTCGAATCATTTCACTCCCCTTTATTGTACTAAGAAAAAAATAATAATAAATAAAGATAAAAATGTTATATACAAGTATCTATTTGAATTTGGTATTTAATTCTATAAATTTAAATATTTGACATCGTTCCAATAGTTTATCCTAAGATTTGATTTTGCTTTCATGTCTGTCTTTCCGATTTAAGACTTCTCAAGCTTAAACTAAAATTATAAACATACAACTACACAATTTCATTCTAATTTAATGGGTCCGTGGCTGAATTTTTCATTACTTAAAAGGTTGATTTATTGCTAGTCAAGTTCAATGCTCTACCTTAAAGTCAATATAAATAGTTCAGCAATAAATTGCATATATATTTTTTCTCTTTCGATTTAAGATTCATGTTTTCGTATTCTATATCAATGGTAAAAAAAAATCCCATGAAAATTTTTTATCAAAGACGAAATCATGTCAATATGGTTAGCTAATATCAAATTAACAAACAATAAATAAATAAAACAGAGAGCTTATAATTTGGACAAATAACAAATGTTGTGGATAAAGAAAGATGCAAGAGGATAGCTGGTTGCATAATCCCCTCTTGAGTTAGATGTTAATTTTAGAATTAACTAGATATTTAAGCTTTGAAAATTACTTTTGTTTCCCTCGAAATACAATTTAGGATGGCAACTAAAAAAAACTATATACGGGGCAAAAAGTATGATGAATTCAACCACACTAGTTATTATGGTTAGTTGTTCATGTTGGATAAATCATTAATTGTGTTTAAAATAATATAATTATTATCGTAAAATTAACTTTTTGATTTTGATCGATGAAGGATCAACCCTCATATTCATAGAGAATGAACAAGATGCCTTAACCACTTAACTGAATTCATATTGACAATTTGCTATTAATTGTTTATTAAGGAAAATATCGAAAGAAACAAAACCTTAATATCTCAGTCTTACACGTTGTTACTTTTACTACTATTTTGTATAAAAATACATAATCATCATACCAATCTTTTTTTTTTAATATTTGATTAACCATGATTAAAGTTGTCATTTGAATTTATTATCATTGAAGGGTAATTAAAAAGAGGTGGTCGCAAATATAACATAGTTGAGAAAAATAAATAAATAAAAGTTAAAATATAATTATAAATATAGCGTTGGACTTAAATTAGTTAAAGCACATATCTTCGATTAAAATATCGTAAATTTGAATTCTCACCCCCTACTTGTTGTGTGTTAAAAAAAAAAAAATATATATATATATATATATATAGAGTAAAACATACGTCAATCGGTAATTATTGTGATGTAATATATCGTTAATCATCAATGAGGAAGACAACCGCATAAAATAAAATATTTTTTTCAAATAAAGATACGCATTAAAATATTTCCCATTAAATTGGATTGAAGAATAAAAAAATAGAAGACCATGAGTGGGTAGTTGGTCACATTATTTAATTTTAATATTAACTAGCTTGTTTATTTTAATAGACATTATTTGTTTGTTTATTCGACAAAGATTGGGTGAGCCTGACTTGATACGTGACTAGCTACCTTGGTATACTCAATCATAATATACTTGTTCATTTGTTTGTTATTTATTTAATGTTAATTAATTCACATCAATTTTCCTTTAGGTTTTAACCACAAAGAGTTGATGAAAACGAGGCTGATTTTTTTTCTTCTAAACTTTTAAATTTATTTTATTTGGATCGATTTTTGAATTGTAAAAATTCATTAGGATTATTTCATAGTTAATTACAAACTACAAACTAATGATGTGACTTTTAATGTATATGTATTGATTTGTTGCTATTGAAGAGATGTAAGCCAATATTATGTGGAGAGGATATTGATAGCCAAATAACAATAATGAAATTTAAATTATGGGGATATAATTTTAATTTGATGCATATATTATAGTAATATTACACTCACTAAACTTACAATTTAAAAAAAATTAATAATAATACTTTAACAATAACTTCATCGAGACAATGAAATGGACGACAAGTTTGATATTGAAATGGTAAATTTAGAGTCAAACTGAATATCATTTCACAACTCATGCTAACATACTAAATATTCACAACTCATGCTAACATACTCAAGTACGCCTATTGATTTTCTCACCTGGATTGTTTGTTGTTTGTTGTTTGATTTTCTCACATGGATTGTTTGTTGTTTGTTGTTTTAATAAAACATATTAAAGTTAAGTAAGTTTGCATAATTAAGCTAGAGGCAACTAAGTTTCCAACTCCTTGAAATTTTAGACAAGCAGGTGATCCTCGCTGGTTCATGAGCTCAATGATTTCAATTTCTAATTGTGTTGGTGAAAAGTTCGATCTTCAAGCTGCTCGCTAGATGTGATGTTTCATAAGTTAACAAACCCACTTATTTAATTTCTATATTTTATCCTCTTATAATGCAAACTACTTCGAAGCAATCAGATTTCATAACTGTTTTCAGACATCGACAATCGTCAAAAGCCTCATTCACTTTGATAGGTCAATTTCTTTAAATTACTTTGCAACTAGCAACAATCAAAGTTCCCAATCAATCACGTATAATACAGGTAATACCATCATGTGTTCAACTTCCTTTTAGATACATAGACCACCGAGAGAGGTTTTCATTGGTTCTTTGAATAGTTCAGCCTTTTCTTCTTTATTGATCTTGCATATATCTATCAAACTATAGTGTTGAAATTTGGTTTATAATCTATTGTACTTGCAAAATAACAATATATGTTATGTTATTAATCCATTTAATGGATAAGTAGATACATAAATATTTATAAAAAGTACGTCCCACTTTATAAAGTTAATAAAAACTACTCATGTATAAATAAATATCGTTCTTCAATTATGATATTAGTAATCTTTTTTTTTTTTTAATCGGTGGAAAATTTTCAAATGAAAGATTTAGATTGGTGGCAATGCAAACTTGATTTTGGCCACTCATAAAGCTAATTGGGTCTAAAAAGTCAAATTTCTTTTTATGGGCAATTTACGTCATTTTCTTAATATTCACTACTTTTTTTTTCTTCTTCCATTCGAAGGCCTGCGTGTAAAGGAGATTCATGTCCATAATCCCGTCACAATCACACGTGTAAATAAGAAGAACCTATCACATTTTGGTTTAAATATTATTTTATCTCCCTATTTTTTTTATTCATTTTAATATTTATACTTTTAAAATATCTATTTTCATCTTAATATTTTTAGTTTTTATCTATTTTAGTTCCAATAATTCAAGGAGTTCGATTTGATCTTGTACTTTTAAAAAACGATTGTTTTGATTTCAAATTCATTTTATTTTCTATCTCATACTTTATAATTTCAGTACGATCCTACGTTCAGTAAATTTCTTAAAATGCATCAATTATTTTGTTATTAAATAGTTTATGTTGTGTTTAAAATTTGTGTCAACAATTTTTAAATATAGATAAAATTGTTACTTTTTTTTAAAGTACAAGGATCAAGACTAACGTTTCCAAAGTATAGGAACTAAAACACATAAAAATTGGAAGTACATACATCAACATTGACTTGGGAAGGGGTGAATAAGAGTAAAAAAATAATCAAATATTTGTGATTAATCCCCTTCTTCTTTTTTTTTTTTTTTGAGTTTTTAAATCTAGAATAAGATAGAAAAGAGAAATAATAAAAGTGGATTCAACCTTAGTCAAATTCGGACTCAACGAGAATTATCGATGTGAAAATACAAAAACAACATGCTCATATTTGAATAGAAAAAAAAGTGGATTTGCAGGATCCCAAATGAATTGGTTTATTAAAAAAATTGTTTATAAAGAAGATATAGTTATAAAGATATGCAGTTTTGACGAAAAAAATCAGGAGTTGGATTTTTTTTAATTTTTAATTTTTTTTTTGAGAACAGGAGTTGGAATCTTCGTCTCATTAAACGGAATTTTTTTAATAAGCTAATTCAAAAAATATAAAACGGTATTTCAAATTTTAATTTTAAAAGTTTAAAGTTTAAGATAAATAAATATAAAAGTTAAGCTTTATCCAATATATTATCACGTTGCTAGTTCAAATTTTCACCACTCTTAGGTAGGGACTCAATTTTAAATTTTAAATATGGTAAAAAAGAAAATCTAAAATTTTAAAAAATTTAAGATAATAAATATAAAAGTCAAATACTACAATTTATTCACATAATATTTTAATTTTCACCGCTACGAAAGGAGCTCAATTTTAAAATCAATCATTGCAAAAAAGAAAAAAAATCAAAATTTTAAAAAATTAAGATAAATATACAAAAGTTAAAAACTATAATTTATTCACAGAATATATTATCATGTCGCAAGTTGAAATTTAAAATTTTCACCACTAGCTCGAATGGGAAATTTGCAGCATTTCTATAGGAAAAGTATATGAATAAAAAAAAGAATTAAAACATGTGCAAGTGCAAGTGCTATTGCTATTGCTATAATAGGTCGATAAATAATTTAAAAAGAAAAGAAATCAATTTGAAAAACCAGAAAAGGAAAAGGAAAAGGAGATATTATATTAATAAAAATAAAAAAAGGTTTACCCAGTCCAAAGCGGAAGATCGCTGTATAAATTGATGATCAGAGAACGTTCATGATTTCACAACCAACGTCCCTTCTTCTTCGTTATTAGTTTCCAAGTTCAGCTGCGAAAATTTTTTCTCTCTCGCAAT